AACATAACAACATTAGGACAAGAAAAAAAGAAGGAATTCCACCGCAACCGGCAGGATCAGATTGATTACTTCAAAGGACAGAGTTCAAATACCCCCTGTGGTCCCAAAACGAGCATGAATGCCTCTATAGCCAATCACGGCTGGCAAGTGGGCGGTCCCGAAGAAATTCCAACCACACCCATCTTTGAGGATTTAAACGCCCTTTTTGGGCTTTTCCCAGGTGAGTTTTCTTTATAACTTCACTTCAGATGTTCTTCCAATAGGGCCTGTGTATCCTTTAGTGCCATTAGTATTGAAAGAAGCAGACCCTGCTGGGACTGTTGCTTTATCAGACACTATTTCATTTTATTTCGCTTCTGCGGTAATTGCTTGGAGGTAAAAAGGAAAAGCAGGGCAGAACATTGACGTCACTTATTGCCGAATATTGTGGAAATTGAAAGGCAAAAGAGGGGTTCACTCCGGTGGCATTGGAACGCTGCTTGGTTTTCCTTCATCGCTGCACCACTTGTCAAAGCTACTTTTACTGTCAACCTCAGACAATCGACCCACCTATCTCTAAGCTAATTACAGGCTATAATTATTTGCTATGTAGAACAACACAAATTTTAAAAATGAATTTAAATCGAGTGCATATAATAACCACGATGTTTATTAGGATTAAATTAGCGTAGGAAAATCATAAGATTAAGTCATAGGAAAAGCTCACGATTTGTTAGTGGGCTCATAACGAAATTTCGATATGGCGCATTGCACAATATCAACGTTGTAGCAGCCAAACAGCCATGTGATCCAAGTAGGGCTAGCATAAAGTTCCCGAATTCTGAATATCGAGATTGCTGTTTTCACCCGGACTGGACGGAAATAGTAAATATCGGAATATTGTCTTTTTTTCCAAAACTCAGTTGTACTCAACATTCTGATGGTGCCTAAGCACTTGTTTGATAGCACCTTCAAAAAAGTTGGACGAGAATCCTTTCCATTGAGCTTCATAATTTTTGGCTCATGGGTTTTCGTTCGGATTTTTGGCTCAAATCGTTGCAAAAACTGGAAAATGTACCTCTTTTCGTATTATTTGTTGTTCCAAAAATGTACATCAGTGAAACAATTGGTAGCACCATACTTAAGACTGGTATCGATATCTGAATTTAAAAAATACATTTACATTTCACAGAATCGGATTTGCGACATTTTATGAGTTTTTATTTCAGGTGACGTATAGTCGCAAGCGGTCGCAGTTTGGTGCTTATAAAGTTTTTCACCTTTCTGAATGGGGGGGGGGGTGTGGTTCACTAGGACAGAAAGCGACTTTTTCGCGTTTCGCAGCGCGAAACATTTTTCGCTGCGGGAACCTCGGGTCCACTGATGATCAGAGGTGGACCTGAGGTTCCCGCAGCGAAAATGTTTCGGACGCGAAAAATTCGCTTTCTGTCCTAGTGAACCACACCCTTGAATGGCGTGGCCCTCAACCAAGAGATGAGGACCCCTTGAGGTAAGACGCTCGAGTTGAGTCCCATTCCTAGCTGCAGAATGGAAGTCGGATGTGCGGCCTCTTGCAGAAGGACATCATCAGTTTTAATCTTTCTCTATGGGATATTTGAACATGACTAATAAGAGAATTAAAATATCGGTAACATCAATTTACTTACCTGAATAGACAGCTGAACAAGAAAACGTTTCTGCATCTGTTTTGTTCTTTGCGACATACTGCCATTTTCGCGTAGGAAATTTGAAAGATACTGTTATACAAATAACTGAGATCAAAAATGCAAGGCAGCACAGCAGAGCTATCGTTATAACAAGTTGTCGCAACTTATGCGGGATGAAAATTTGAAGATTAGGAACAGAGAAAGCCGACTTCGCACATGAATATTCCTAAAATGGGACGTAGTCATGAAAGCTTTCTTTGTACATGAAGATGGTACGTAAAGCGAGAAGTTCTTTAAGCACCATTAGATCTGAAATGTGCTCATCCGAACGAGTTTGAGCGCGTTGGGTAAGCTGCTTAAATAGACCTCGTCATCTCGTGAAACCAACGTATTGGTTCGGTGAGAATTTGAAAGCGGCTGCAATCTACCAATCACTTCATCTTTGGTGTGTCGGTTTGTCGGTGTGTGTGT